GACTATGCAAAGGGTCACCATGAGATTCAAACTGCTGTAAACAGACAGCAGACATTGTACAAGGTTTGGGAGAGGCTAGCCATTTAGGAAGAATGCTACCGTTGGGAGCTTGAAGCAGACTGGAAGAAGAGGGGGAGGAGGAGAGACAAGCCGAGAAGAGAGGGAAATAGATGAGGCTCTTTCTGGTAGACAGCAAGACAGTAGGATGAAGAGATCCTTTGTAAATAAGCAGGGTCTTGCACCAACGAGGGCGAACACCACAGTGGTATCGTTATGTGCATGTCTCTTTCTTGAAGGCTAATTTCATCAGGGAGGCATCGATGCATTAAAAAAAACACAACATAGCCATCTGAATTCAATCTGACTCTTCGTAATAAACTGGGTGTTTCTGTATATATTTGCTTCTAGGCAACCATGGAAGTCCAGATCTTTAAGGCGTCCCCCTGTGTATTGGCCGTCCTCGTCTTCATACCGGCGGTGCAAAGCATCTGCCCTTCGGCATGTTCATGCTCAGGAAATGACAGAAACGTGGACTGTTCCAGCAGAAACCTGAGCGAGCTGCCCCAGGGACTCCAGGAGAACATCACCTCTTTGAACCTGTCCTATAACCACTTGGTGGACCTCGACCACCAGCTGACGCGGTTTGCCAATCTGAGGACCCTGGACCTTTCCCACAATTGGCTCTCGAGCCTGCCGGCTCAGCTGCCCAGGTCGCTGTGGGAAATATACGCTTCGCACAACAACATCAAGATCCTCCAGAAGCTCGACACGGCTTACCAGTGGAACCTCAAAGTCCTCGACGTCTCCGACAACATGGTGGAAAGGGCCGTGCTCATTAACAACACGATGAGCAGCCTTAAGGTCCTCAACCTCAGCAGCAACAAGCTGTGGACGGTCCCCACCAACATTCCTCACAACACGGAGACGGTGGATCTGTCCCACAACTTCTTGACACAAATCCTTCCCGGCACGCTGGCGAGGCTCACACACCTTTCCAAGCTTTACCTGCACAACAACAAATTTGCCTATATCCCGGACGGAGCTTTCGACCAGCTCGTCCGACTGCAACTCATCACACTCTACAACAACCCCTGGGTGTGCACAGACGACAGCGAGCAGGCCCTTTCCTATCTGGAGGAATGGGTGAGAGAAACGAAGGCTGTGGTCCTCGGGCGGCCGTGCTCAGACGAGGCTGTCACGTCTTGGAAGGACGCCACCCTGGACTCGGCTGCTCCCACAGCTGCAGAGGAGAGCCATCTCTTTGTGAAAGCCATGAAGGCCGCCCGCACAGCTGAGCCCCCGGGAACGACAGAACCACCCGACCTCGTCCATCAACAGTTCAGAACGAAAGACGTCCGTCCGGGTGGCAACGTTGGACAAACGGTAGCGTTCACAAGCACGGACAGGCCGCTGGCCGTCTACCCGGAAGAGCTGAGCACAGAGAAAGTCAGCTTGTACGAAGCGGCCGCAGCTCCGCACACCATTTACATGCAAGATACAACCTCCGGGAAACCGAGCACAAGAGGCCTGGCGAGATCACCCACCACTCCCTTGACCTTGAGCATCACCAGTGGGGTGCCTACAAACTATTCAAAGCGACCTCAAAGCACAACCACGGTAAAGAAGGAGGAATCCACCACAAAAATTAACCCCCGCGCACCCTCCAAAGGCAACATTGCCAAGGGCGATTTGTACCTCACTGCCACGCTTGCCTCGGTGGCCCTAGCAACGGGCTACGGATTTGTGCTTAAATGAATGAATTTGCTTCGTTATTCCGTATTAATAAAACTGGTTGGAAGGAAAAGAAATGCTTGTGCTCCATGATTTAAACGCAAGAAGAAAATGCCCATCTTTTGATTCCGAAATATGATCATAAAGAATGTTAACGTCTCTTAAGTGAACAGACTGCACAAAATTATGTCTTGATAACCAAGCTGCTACTTATTCTAACGATGTCTTACTGAGTTCTGAGGGGGGGTGGAGGGGGGAGGGGAGGGGGAGAAGAAGCCTAATTCTATCAAATAATATAATTGTTTTTATGAAATGTGCTTATTTTGTATTTACATTTTTAATTTTCTTCACATAAAAAATATGAAAGATGTCAGTATTTTATGTATTGATTATGAATAGTTTTGTCATTAAACATCTGGAAAGGAAAAAAAAAGGCCTGTATTATATATGCATTGTCTCGCTTGGCCTGCTTAATCCGAGGGTCTTGTAACAGAGAAGCGCTGATCTTTTATCAGAGATGACGCGCGAAACAGAAAAGGGAGGGATAAATAAAAACCTCGAAAACTGAACTGCTTCGTATTTTGAGGCACCTAACTGATGTTATCTGCAGCTTAAATTTGTACAACACGATGGGATCCTTTTAAATGTCTATTTTAAGAATTCTATAAATATTTATAGAATGTATAACTTTTAACCAAGCTTACGCACTTAACTCTCAGAAGTAAACTGAACCGCAGCTAAGCTCACTGAGCCGAAATCCTATTCTCAGGAGCCAAATAAAAAGCCACCAGCAAGATTTGATAGCCACTCTGCATGCTTCGCTCATGGCGGACACAACATGTCATGTGATTAACCCAAACCATATTTTGCAAATCCATGGTTTCGTCTCTCGGTTGGCAGCTAATATTCAACCAGGACTTTACATCTTTAAGAATAAATTTTTATTATAAAGCTTAAAGGAAAACAAATTATAGCAATGTATTCAAATCTTCAGAAAGTCTTAATAGATAATACTCTAGAAGCCAATAAAATAAAAATAAAAGGCAGGGTCGTTCAGTTGAGGGATAATTATTTTGTCTTGAGAGAGTGGAGTTTTTCTCTCTCTCCATGCAAGATTCTTCTCTAGACCTATATGGAGTTCCAGATGTTCACTTGTTATCTTCCAACCATGCATTTATCAGGCTTGACCCCACTTAGCTTCCAAAAAGAAGAGAGACCAGAAGGGTTCAACACCTCGTGGTGGCCATACTTTTAAACATACCACTATTATGAGAAATGTCTTCAAAACAGTATCAGAATGGTTTCCCTGGAAGTGTGAGCGGCAGGCAACAAGTCATCATTTCTCTTGGTTAAGGGAGGTAATGGGGGGGAGTAAAAGACACGCAATATTTGGAATAGGTGGCGGCTGAAGGGTTAAAGCTCAAGAAAAGCTGCCAGACAGCCACGTTCCGGTTTCCGAGCTTGAGCAAAAGTGGCAGACGGTGGCACCGTCCCACAGAGAAGACAATCCACCGTGGCACCTTTCCTTAGCCCAGTTATACAAATGGAGGTCGGGAGCTGTCTCCGGAAATAAAACCCAGGCCTGGGTTCTGTTCTTGAGATTGCAAAAGCTGAAAAACTCCGTTCGGCATGCAAATACTGCCAAGCGAAGGTGGAGGAGGACACGCGCCAGATTCCTGCTCGGAGGCTCCTCCTGCAACAGGTTATATACTGCAGAACCCATTTCCATGGTTACCAGAAGCCAAGGATTTAACACGGAGAGACGAGCTCGCCATTAAATAAATAAAAGAGACTAGCTCGCCATTAAACGAATAAAAGAGACTAGCTCGCCATTAAACGAATAAAACAAGCATAACAGAGCCCAGCCCTGCTCGCAAATAGGGTTCAAGGAAATCCAAGTTACCAAAACAGCTTGCCAACAAACCAACATCATCTAGCAGTAAATCATTAGGGTAACTGGTCATCGCTCAGAAACGCGGGGGCCAAATCTTGTCGATTCAAGGGGGGGCGCAGGCGCCGAAAGGAGCGCTTATGTTCAGCTGGCTTTTTCACAGCTGATTCAAGAGAATGGTTGAACGCCCAGGCTCACCGAAGGCAGCCGACCTCCCCGCAAGCATCCTGCCTTGCCCAGGAAAAAGCAGCATGCCTGGGGCCCACCCTCTCGCCCAGATATTTCTAGTGTGATTCCCTTTCTCTCTTGCATTGTCTTGCCAATATTTGCTCAGAGAGGTGATAAGAAGAGGGGGGGGAAAGCGAATGGATTCCCCACCCCAACGCAGCTCTGCCTGGGGCTGCCACGTGACCAGCCAGCGGCAGACCCCTAGGGAATGCGCCCTCCGAGGCTCCCGACTGTCACTGAATGAATGAATGAATGAATGAATGAATGAATGAATGAATGAATGAATGAATGAGACTTAAGTACAGGTTGACTTTCCACATGGTTTGGGAAACCAGAGGAGAGCTGAATCAAATCTTTTCTGGAAAATATGGGGTGTTAGGAAGTATCTGAAGAAGAGAAGGGACACCAAATAGGTATTCTGAACGAAGCAATTATGGGTGGAGGCCATACAGGGCATCAAAGGAGCAGCAGGCTTTGCGAGAGTTATGGGTCACAGAGCTAGAAAAGCAGAAGTCATGGTCAGAGAGATGGCTTGGATAAAGGAACAGAAAAACAAGAGCAGATGGGGAGTGATCATCCTGTGACTTCTACCACTAATCCACTGGTATGCCGGACCGCTGATGGGAATGCAATCATGCAAGGGGTGTGCATGATCTTCCCCATGATTCATTGTATACTCAGGCAGGCATGGATGGTGCGCTTGGTTGCGCAACAAGTATGTAACAAGACAGGTGGCATCATGTGAAATCTACTAGTAGGATTGCTCTTCTGCACACCAAAATGTCATGACAGAATTTTTGTCAATATGCCTGGACTGTTGGGTGGGGGGAGTGAATTCCTCTTGGCATTGCTAGACTGCAACATCCATCAGCTGTACGCAGCACGGTCAGCAGTAAGGAACGCTGGGAACTGTAGTCCACCCCTACTTTGGATGTTGTCAGGCTGCACCGCCCTTCACCCCTCACCATTACCTTTGCATGCCGGGGCTGATGGGAGCTACAGTACAGCCACTAAGGTTTCCAACGTTGGGTCACCCAAGTGTTCTTAGACTGCAACTCCCAGAAGCCTTCACCACAAGCTGGGCTGGCTAGGGTTTCTGGGAGTTGCAGTCCATGAACGCCTGGGTGACCCAACGTTGGGAACAAGGTATCAAACGTAAGAGATTCACACACACACACACACACACACACTTCTGTAATGTTCAACACTCTTCATACCTGCAAAGAGAGCAAGACCTCACTTTCTGTGCATGGACAGTTTCTGATATGGAGGGACTTTTAAATTCTGAAGGAAGATACGGGTCAGGGTGGAAAGAGGAAGCCGTAAGAAACTCTACACGTCCTCACCAAATGTGTTTATAAGTGACCCAATGTTGGGAACAAGGTATCAAACGTAAGAGATTCACACACACCCCACTTCTGTAATGTTCAACACTCTTCATACCTGCAAAGAGAGCAAGACCTCACTTTCTGTGCATGGACAGTTTCTGAAATGGAGGGACTTCTAAATTCTGAAGGAAGATATGGGTCAGCAGCAAGAAACTCTACACATCCCCACCAAATGTGTTTATAAGGATGGAAGAACTTGAGGAAGGGCCTCAGTGGGTCTCCTCTTATAAAAAAACAGACATCTGGATTTCATCTGTTGACTTCTTTGGATTCATTATTTCATTAATCATCACCACCGCCAGCCTGGTCAAACATGAGAGACGCCCCGGCTTTTGAGATTTCCTCAGACACTATTACTTCATGATCCTCTGGCCAGAAGGCCTGGCAATGTGCTCTTTCAAGATACCGACTTTGTTATCCCACCGTTCTCCACTAATCACCAGTTTTGTGCCAGTACCGTACAACCACGGACAACACAAACCATACCAGCCTGAAAATAAAGAGTTGTGGGGTGTTTTTTTTTTAATGTTAGTCCAAGCTCAGCTTCAAAACACCTTGGGTATCCCAGGGACAAGACAATAAGGTGTTGCTATGCGATTAATGAAATCTTATGAAACAAATCATACGGGGCTAAACCCTCTGAATCAATGGGGCTTATGTAAGTACTGACTTTCATAAGCCTCGCCGTCCACTCTAATAGAAACAAACATCTGGATTTAACTTGCTGCCTTTACTAGATTCATTGTTTAATTAAATCTTCAAATTTCATAGAATCATAGAATAACTGAAAGGGTCTGTAAGGCCATCGAGTGCAATCCTCTGCTCGATGCAGGAATCCAAATAGTAGATCTGACGGAGGGTTTTCCAGGTTTCTATTGAATGCCACCATGTCCTGGGGTAATTGATTCCATTGTTACTCTAACAGTTAACATTTTTCCTGATATTCAGCCTCAATTGGGCTTCCTGTCGCTTGAGCCCATTGGCTCTAACAGTTAACATTTTTCCTAATATTCAGCCTCAATTGGGCTTCCTGTAGCTTGAGCCCCTTGTTACCGTGTCCTGCACTCTGGGATGATCGAGAACAGATCCTGCCCTTCTTCTGTAGGGACTACCTTTCAACTATTGGAAGACTGCTATCACATCTTCCCTCTGTCTTCTTTTCTCGTACGTATCTTTCGGAGCAGGGAAAACATTCTTTACTTTTTTCATGCTTCGGCTGTACTAGGGACTCTTCATGCCTTTTCTAAGATGGTGTTAGCCACCTGAGTGGCTTCTGATTGGTGCTTAAACTGAATGAATGAATGAATGGTCTTTAGACACATTTTTTAACCTACTGATCAGAAGCAGTTTTTCAGTTCATCAATAAGATTTCAACAGACTAACAAGAACCCATTAATAAATGAAAAAAACGGTGCAGCTCCAGGTTGTTAAATATACTGCTACGACTGCTGGAGGCTAAAAACTGCTTTCAGTTTTGACAACGCTTCCTGAATCATACGTGGAGTCTATTTCTATTCAACATGCTATTTACTTTGGATTATGTTTTGCAAACAAGAAAGCCACCCTTTTGTTCGCTGTATGATTACCTCATTCTTAAGTCTGACATAAATTGCAGTCCCTGATGTTTCTGCCCAGCTGTTTTGAAGTCTGGGAAGGAGGATAAGGAGCTGTGCATGTGATCCCCCCAGGACAAGGATCCAAGGAATCAAGGAAGAGGTATGGAATTTGATGGGTGATTCATAGGCCCCTTTCTGTAAAGGATAGTACCTGGTGTCGTGATGGGGAGGGGTGTGTGTGTCTCTTCCCAGCTTTATTTATTCCAAGGGCATCATCGTCACAGCTCTGAGCTAGGGCATGAGATCTGTGGTTCTCAAATGGCCATCAGTGGCAGGTTCGATTGTGCTGCTTGGCTAGTGAGCGGAGGAAGGTGGCCTACCGTCATTCCTTCCTCCTGCCTCTCTCCCCAGTCTTCCCCTGGGGACCCCTCTGCCAAAGGCTCGGCTTTTGCCCTCTTGGCCAGAGGTCAGTCGGCTGCCAAAAGGACATTCTTTAAAAAAAAACAACACCTGCCCTCTATTGGAAGGGCTGCTTGTCTTGTGCAAAGCTGATAGAAATAAAAAAAATTTGTAAGCGAACCACAAGGGAACACGAATCCTGAAGGTGTCCCCCCCCCATCCATCTGCAGTAGGTACCTGAACATCAGGACTGAATAGGTACACAGATCACACACACACACACACACACACACACACACACACAGCTCAGGCGAGTAGGCACTATCATTTTGCTCAAATTATTAAAACCGTTGCTAATTCTGCATCCGTGCATATAAATCAGGATATGCGGTTTTTATGCAAATGCGGGTAGTAAATCCACAAAAGTTCACACTGGAATAAATCTGTGGGGTCTTTAAGGGGTCACATCCCTTTGGGAAATTTTTTTGGGTGTGCACGCTCTTTGTTTTGATTATAGATGCAAATCATAGTCTTCTTTCCTCCTCCTTTTGCATGATTGTGTTGAGTGGCCATTCTAGTTGCCCGCCTGCCCCAAACGTTCCAGTGCAATGAGAGATGCAGTAGAAGACCAAACAGAGTCATCTTTCCAGCCCCATATTTAAGGAGAAAAGATTTTCTGGAAAGCATGACAGATTTGCATAGGAAATGAAAAGCTGCTGTACTTGGAGTGGGATTTTAGTTTACCATGCAAAGCACTGAAATACTGCCATATCCAGCTCCTTTTCTGATTTCAAGTAACTGAAGGAGCCTACAAAAATCTATCTTTTCTTCTTTAGACTCATGTCAAGTTCTAGATGCACGCTGAAAAATATTCGTGTACATTTTCCCTCTGTAGACCAACCTACCACCAACCTCATGGACAACACCAAAATATATATTTTAATTGTGTGTGCGCTGCTCATTTATTTACTTTCTCACCTTTGCTTTGAAATTGTCAGATTTAAGTTGCTTATCACTATTGGTTAATATACAAGTAGAAGTTCAGGGCAAGGGCCAATAGGGAAGGGTACCATATTTTTCGCTCCATAAGACGCACCTTTCCATAAGATGCACCAATTTTTTAGGAGAAGAAAACAGGAAAATATAATCTGTTTTCTTCACTCCATAAAATGCAGACTTTCCACCCCCCTGTTTTGTGGGGGGAAAGTGCATCTTATGGTGCGAAAAATACGGTAATTAGGTTTAATTATGTATGTAAATTGAGGGAGAGGATCGCAAAAGCATATTGTAGTTTAGTAACAAAGTATGCTGAGCTCTGGGCCCCAAACTCTTCAGCAAAAGTACGTAAAAACAATTCTGATTAACAGACTAAACAGAATATTTTATTTTTCCTGTTTATGAATTAAGAATGGAGCTTTCGGCAAACAGTCAAGAACTATATTGTTTCATACAGCCTTTGATCTTTCAACCCAATTCTAAAGCTGGGCTTTCTAAAAGGGCTTTAAAATCTATTTTTAAAGAACATACTACCTTTTTGTCATGCATCCCTTTGGCAGCCTTTGTGGGCAGAAAAGTAAAACGCAAATAAAAAACCCCTTTACAAAATAAACAGATAAACTTTCCACTTTCCACATACAAAATCCGGGGGGGGGG